GGAACTAATGCATGCCTCACAGCTATTTGGCTTTCTAAGTCTGTTTTTTGAATCACAAACCGTCTTAGAAAGGGCCTGGCTTGGTATTTAAATGGCACCATGCGTGATGTTCGTGCTTGGGGGCCTATGTTAATATGCTCTTGGCAGTATTTTAGTGATCTGGAGAAGTGAAACTGATTGTCATGCCAGCACTCTGTTTTTCTGATAAAAACCAGAAGCTCTGTAGTGAACTGAATTAAGACGTTTCTACATTGGTTGCAGCATATCTACTGACACGCATCGGGGTAAGGGAGATGTGGCTGTGTAATGCAGTTCTAAAAATGAAAAAGTGACTGAAAAGACATATGGACATTCTGTCATTCCTTAAAAAGGAACAATCTAGGGATGTTATTTCCTTACTGTTCTCTGAACTAGAACAGCTTTGTTTTGACTTCCTTTGGAATGAGTATTTCCTTGATTTCCCTTCCAAAAGTTTTTGGCTGTCCTTAGATGCCTAGGCTCAAAACTCTTGGAGGGGGAAAAACTGTGCCTGGGCACCTGGATGCCTCTGAGGGTTGCTTCCCCGTTACCAATTTGAGTAACAATTCAAAAAAGTAAGGAGAAAGTGAGGAACCGGTTGGGTGTGCCGGTGCTTGGTGAGAGGCTTTAGGCTATCGCAGCAGTTGACTTCTGAGAGCAAAGGGAAAAAGTCTGGGAACTCCTGATGATGAGGAGGAAGGCTGGCAATATGGGTTCTAGATAGTGCAACATATAGGGATGGGGTATGAAGAATGAGACTTCCTGATATGAGTTCCTTTCTCTCGTGAGCAGTACAGCAAATGAGGTGTGGAGGTCTGCTGGCAGCTTGCTAACCCGCAGCTGAACGGCTGCTCTTGGCAGTGGAAGGGCCGTTTGGGGTGTGGGGCGGGGGACGGTTCTTTTGCTTTTCATTTCCTCTCTGCGTTGCAGTGAGTTCAAGTTGGGTGTTTCAGGAGAGGCGGCTGGCAGCGCCTGCCTTTCCCACTCCCGGGGCGCAGGCGCAGCAGGGGGACCTCAGATCATCCAGAGGCTGCATTTCATAAGGGTCATTCATTGCCAGACAACCGCTTTGCATGGCACGTTCCCAGTTCCCCCAGTGCTTCCTTTCTGCCAGCAAAATCGCTCTGCTTTCCCCTGTGTAACGCTGCACCCAGGTATGACCCCTCCTCCAGAGAGCAGAGGATATTTACATCTCATCTGTACTCCCTTTGGGAGAGTGGACCCAGAGCTATGAGTTACTACGGGAATCTGTCAGGAAAGGGCAAAACTCGGCGGCTTTTCCCGGCACAGGCTCCCTGGCATAGCCCTAACCCACAACAGCCCCAGCGAGGGGTGAGGTGCTGGAGCCGGAGCCTGGTCCCCACCCTCCCCTCGCCCTTCGGCACGCCCGCTGGGGGATTTTGGGGAATGTTTGATCAGCAAATGCCTCAGGTAATGTAATAAAATGTGAAGGACCCTTTTAATCCTAGTATAATTTAGGTTGGAAAGGATAACCTTTGGATGTCATTTGGTCCATTCCTCTGCTTAAAGCCAGCCTAAATTTAAATTTAGATCAGATTGCTCAGGGCCTGGTAAAGCTTTTTATAAGATGTACGCAAAGATATACAGCTGCTTCTTCTGGAACACCATGGCCAGCTTACCCGCTCCAACACAACTTACTCTCGATTTATGTTGTGAATTCAGGTTGCAGCATGTAGCCAGCGTAGCACAAGGGATTCATGCAGCTGTTTTTGTTGAACCAAAATTAATTCAGTAATGGACTTTTACTTGCTGAAGCGCTTTCTTTCTTTTTTTCTTTAATTCTGTGGAATTTTAACTCCGTTACAAAGAAATACCATTCTCCCTCTTTTGTATTAGTGGGAGCTAAATGCAAATACCTTTACTTTTCCCTGCTAAGTAAGTTTTAATGATTGTTCCCTATATTTATTTAAAAACTGTTACTAGAACTAGTAACACCTAGCAGCACGTAAAGCCTCATTTTATTAAACTGAAATGAAAATGTAGGCTTCAAATCATTGCTTTGTGTAACCCGGGCAGCTGGAACCAACACATTTCTAAGTGGCTGATCTTCCCATTACTACTGTTTCTTGACTGAGGTGTCACTAAGTGGTAATTTCCCCATGCCTAACAACGTGGCTGAACAATATATTGTGCAATATAAAGGTTGATGAAAGGGAGTTTTTGTTCCTTGTTCCTTTGGTATTTCAGAATTTTATGGCGTTTCACAATCTTTATAAATTATTCAGATGAAAAGCAGAACATGACTGACAATGTGTTAATCTTGGTGACTGAATTGGAGGTCATAGGACTCTAGATAAAAAGCAGTAGAAGAAAAGAGACAATTTTAATAAAAGAAATAATCTTAACTACTCTCTTTAGCTTCACGTCTGATGAAATGGGAGTTGAACTTTGTAAAATCTTTGTTGCTTTTCTAGCTAAAGAGCATATCAACATTTTCTAAATCCTAGATTGCACAGTGGCATATATGTGTGGTTGTAGGGAGAAAAAAGACTCTGGGCTACTATAAAGCCTTTCTTTTAAATAAATCATATGATTCTGTCTCTACTTTCCCTTTCTCACTATTTCACTGAAGTTCAGGTAGCTGGAACATCTCACAGTATAAACTGATAAACTGATCTTTTGCTAGTTTAAATAACATTCTTTTATTCATCTTTAATTTGTGATATTCCTACAAGCTGGTAGTTTTGTCAACATTTTAATATGGTCATATATTAAACTTGTCCCTCTATATTATCAACTGCGAGAACAAGCAGTTTGAATTTGTTCTTTCGGGTTTTTAAACTAGATGTATAATTCTAAATTATTTCCTATTACTTTTTTTTAACCTGTATTCATATGGGGACCAGAAGCCAATTAAAGTGTGTAAAACAGGATGGTGGTTCTGTTAGTAAAGTTAGTAAAGTAGAAGAAAAAAAATAGTAAAAAAGGAACACCTTAAGACCAATTTATTAAACAAAGAGGATGTTGTGTACGAGTTGGGAAGTGAGCTAGATGCCACACCATCCCAGAACAATTAAACATCTTCCTGTGACATTTGCTTTTACCCTGGGAGTGAAAGGCAGGAGGGAACTGCTTTCAGTTTCAATTTCATTCCCAGCTTTGAATGACCATCTTCACTGAACTGAACTAGTTGGAAGAACCATAGCAGACAAAATATATTACTGCTTGAACTTGAACTGCATTCTTTCTAAAGAATAACTAGGTTTATTGTTTATTTTAAAGCTTTTGATCCTATAAAAAGGAGCTCCTATACCATTCTTTTTTATACTTCCACTTATGGATCTTCTGGCTATTTTGGACCTCTGTCTTTAATAGAAGTTGCTGCCATTGTCTTGCTTCTCTCGTTACCCCAGAGATTGAAAGGAGTATCTGTCAAGGTTGATGCTGGCATCGGTAAATATTCTTTCTACTTTTTTTTTTAACTCCTTTTGGCAACCCTGGAAGAGTAGAAAGAAAAAGACAAGCAGTTGGCCCTTTCACTCATGATGTTCTGCCGTGGAAGCCCACTCGCCTGTGCAAGCCCACCCTTTATTGTCCTGTGGAGACAAAAATTGGATACGTGATATTTAGTAGTACCACTTCAGAAGTGGAATAGCATAAAGAACTGAATAGGTGGTAGCACGACATCATGGCTGCTCCAGGATTTACACAAGCAGGTCTTGTAGTCAACATCAATACACTAAACCAGTTGCTCTGAAATTACTGCAGTAATGTGTTCATATGAATTGCATGATGTTTCTGAACGGCTGCACAATGGAGTCCTGCACTGCAATGAAATAACTGCACATCCCGATGCTTTCCTCTGAATTGAGGATGATTTTGGGATGCTCAAAGCATGAATGCAGGCATAGATAATTCAGACTTATGTTGTGGTGGAGACATAGCCTAGAAGGAGGCTGAGATACTTAAAGTTATTTTAACTTGTATTTGTAATTCAGCTTTCCCATACAGTTTAGACAGGAAAGTATCTTTTATCAATAATAAATAGAGAAGTCTGAATAACTCTTGTGTGAAATTGTATATTAAAACCCCCATGAAATAAAAATGTTGTTTTGCAGAACGATTATAAGCAGATCCACGGCAATGCAAGGTGAGTAGAATATAAACAAAATGTCATCTTTTGTTAATATCAAAGATAACATGGGTCCTTCTGAGATGCTCAAGCAATATTAGCTTAGCTATTAGTTTACCTTCTAATTTTATGAAATATGTATGAATGTTTTAAATTGAAATTATTTACATTTTAAAATTGAATCATTTACAAAACATATAGCTTACCTTTTCAGATCTCGATTTCTGAAGTTAAATAAAATAAATAAATAATCTTGAAATTCAAGTTATTTCTGCTTACAAACTGAACTTAGTAAATGTTTTTTAATCCATAACCCTCTGAGTCTGCTGGTGAGGCATTAGTGTAGTCCTAACTTGAAGAACTTGGGAGAAAATGTTTTACATAGTGGAGAATGGCTCATTACCAGTCTGTTCTGTACAGGAGGGCAGCCTGTCAGTTCCCTGGCAGTTCTTTGAATTAAAACCTCCTTCTAAATATAAATGAACAAAGGCACCTCTCGTCCAGACGGAGAGTGAACTGACCCTGCTTGAGCAGGGATTGGACTAGGTGAGCTCAAAATGTCTCTTCCAAGCTAAACGATTCCGTGATTCTATGACATCTTCATGGCAATACCTGCCTTTTTTCTGCACTTTAAGGATCAGAACTCCTTTAAGTTATACTGATGTTTAATATATATATTGTGCATAAGCATGAGCTTGTTATACAGTTTTTGCTATACAGAAAACAGCTGCTTAATTTTCTTATGTGTCTACTCTGCAAAAGGAGGGAATGTTGGGGATCTTTCACCCTAGGGTAGGAGGAAATGAGCAATACTCAGAGTGTATGTTCCATTCTTCCAGCACATAAACCTGTACCAGCATCTGGATTTTCAAATGCTAACTATGCACCAGGAAATCAGGTGCCCTATGGCTACCCTCAGCATGCACCTGGGACTTACCAAGGTAGGTTGCTTGGCTACAGATCTGCTATACCACTGGGAAATAAGCACGGGAAATAGGAGGTTTCACAAGGGCGACCGTCTCCGATTTACTTTTCTCCTGTTAATTCTGTAGAGTTTCTGTTAATTTCTGTTTTGCTGAAAAGTTATCTTTTTTCCTTCTTGGTGCTACAGGTTAGTATGTGCTGAGTAGTACCAATAGTGGTAGGAGTTAAAAATGTTGGATGTTCCTCAGTGGTCACTGTGGGGATTTTGTTAAGGAGGTGTTACTGATGCAAAGCAAGTAATGTGTGGCAGCTTCTTGCTGATGATCGGATTTTTTAAATTAACATGTTATTTCAGTATTTCACTTTATTTTTTTTCTAGAAATCCAGAACTGAAGAAAGAATTGTTTTCCTCTCACAGTTCTGCTGGTCCATGTATTTTGTTCCTGTTTCCTACTCTGTTGCTGTACTTTGCACGTGGTTATACCTTACACTTGCACTCATTTACTTTTCTCCTCTTCTATCTCATTTTCTGCTCCACATTCAAAATGCAGCAGTCCTAAATAGCTTCTCATGTTCTGGCAACTAACTGCTTTCTGAAGAACCAAATCACAATGAGCAATATCTAACAATCAGGCTCAAAGCGTAAGTTGCATAAAGTGCACAAAGTTTGGCCCAAATTACTGTGCTGTTCATAAGTTAAAGCTTGTGCATCTTGTGGCAAGGCAATCTGAGGTCTGCAAGTACAGTCAGCTTCAGCAGGGAATGAGCACGTGCTGCCTGTGTGATGAAGGTCAGGGGAGCATTTTTTGTTTTGAATAATTATATGTGCACACACTTACACACCATGGCAGTAGATAGTCAGTTTGTGTGCAAAGGCTGTGCTCAGACATAAAGGTGATTTTGCATTCTGTGAGGGATACATTTGTATTCTCTGCAGTGAGTGATCCCGCCACCTACAATTTTTAAGCCACAGGTGTTTACATCACCTGAGGTACCGTCCTGCTTACGGCCACAGCGTGAGCTTGCACATGTAACAGCCCATGTATTGTAATGTAATGTGAAACATTGGTGCTGAACTGATTTGGGCTAAAGATAAGTCTACAAGTCAGTATCTTAAACTATTTGTCTTTGTACAGCTCTACAAAAATATTCTTTGTGGCTTCTGCGTTGTGCTTGCTTCTGAATAAAATATAAAATTCCTCTGCATCAGATTGAAAGCCTACCTGCCTACCAGGAAAGTATTAAATGAGGGAAAAAAATACAGCTCTTGTCCTGTAACTTTCAATAGCAACTTCAGCAGCTACAAGGTCACAAAGCATCTCTGTAGCAAAGACCACGTTGCTGCAGGACCATACTCAGGCGAGGCAGGGCTCAGCGCCCAGCCGGGGCGCGGGATGGGCCGTGAGCTCCAAGGCAAGGCTGCGTGTGCCATCTGGTGGGGTGCTGAGCACTTCCACCCTGACGTGCTTCATGAGAGCTTGTGTTTCCTATTGAGTGCTAACTGGAGAAGACTGACTTGGCATTCACAAAATGTGGAACTATTTCCTCCTTTACTATGCACCTCCTCCATGAAAGAGTTGTGGATTTCCTGAGTTTTGAAAGAGAATCCATTAAACAAATGGGAAAGTGCAGTTTTTAGATCACACTCGTCTGGTTTGAAACTGCAGATGAACTTTGGTAAAAGGACATTTCCTATCACATAAGTAGAAGGTATAATTCCAGGAAAACTTTGTCTTAAAATTCCTCATTTGCTCAACTGACAACTTGTAAATGCCAATACCTTTCATGTATTTTAAAGTATTGTGTCTTCTCTACTTAGAAATACCCTTCATTTATTTATGTCTAATTTTTGAATTGCCTATCTTTATGTGAATAAAATTTCTGCTGTATTCACAAATGATGCATTTATTTGTTTTGTTTGTTTTTCTCTGGAGGGATTAGAACATCCCAATCCAGTGTGTAACTTCCTTCACGAAAGTTGTAGTGTTCATAACTGAAATATATTGTAGGTATAAGGATCTTCATAGTTCAGAATAGTGAACAAATTAATCTTTTGAAGATCCATGGGGCAATTCTTTTCCAACATCTAAGTTTCACAACTGCACATCTTCTACCACACCAGGTGTCGCAGGCGCGGGGAGCTATGGCTTCCAGGCGCAGGCCATGGGAGTCCCAGCTGGACTTGCTGTTCCACCCATCCAGAACCAACCCATCATGAAGGAGGGGACAATCTGGATGCCCATCCCTCCTCCTCTTCCCAACTGCCCTCCTGGACTGGAATACCTCACTCAGGTACTTGCACCCTTCCTCCTTCCCCAGAGAAGCAGCCTGCATCCATGAAAAAGCTAAAAAAAGCATCTGGCTTTGTTGCAGCTGTGTGGGTTGCTGCTTTTGGGCTGCTAAGTGAAGCCTTTTGTAATGTGATTGATGCATGTTTGAGTGTGGAGGTGCCTGTTACGGCTGCAGCACCACTTCATGGAGTACGCTCCTGCCAAGTGAGATGCTAAAGGACCGGGGGCACAGGGCTATCATACATCCTTCCCATTTCTGAAGCTACTGTTTGTGAGATGTAATGTGATTTGGCAAGGTGTATATAATAAATATATGTAATATGGGCAATTGTAGCACATTAGAGGTGCTTAGTTTTCTAACCAATGCTTTCTTCACACCTCTTCATAATGTCATTAAGAGAGGTGCTAGTCAGACTTCACAACGTAGAGAATGCTAATAGCAAAATAAGAATTGTTTCCGCATTACAGAATATGTCCTTGTACTATAAAAGTACAGTTCATCTCATCACCAGGAGCAAATATCAAGGCTTAACACGGATGTATTGGTGCTAGTTTTGCAAATTGCTAAAAAAAAAAAAAAAAAAAAAAAACCCACCGGATGGTGTTTAAAAATTTAAAAAAAAAAAAAAAAAAAAAAAAGCACCAGTGAGGAGAGGCTGACCTTTCCTGAGTTCCACTCAGAGCTGAGCAGTAGCGAAGCTTCTGCTCTGAAATTTCTCAGTTTCCTGCCTTGGTCTGTAGGGACTGCTGGTGCAGGCATCTGGGATATGCGGTGTGAGAGGCTCCGTCAGGCTCTGTAGCTGGGCTACCCTGAGTCCTGAAAGGAGCACAGGCGTGTTAGCCCTGAGTGCTTGTAACCAGACCAGCTTGGGTACAACTTCTCCCATCTCCTCCGGTGCTCTGAAACACTGTTCTGCTAAATGGACAAAGGACAGGACGGGGGGGCGTGAGCTACTTCTACAGCTTTACTGGTAGATGATCTGCCTCTAGACATATTGATCCATAATCTGCATTCTGAAATGAAAAAGTAATGCTTCTTAAAACTAGGTTTCTCTTAGTTACAACTTGTTGACTATTTATTCTGTTTAATTTTTCAACCACGAACAGATTGACCAGATATTAATTCATCAGCAAATTGAACTTCTTGAGAGTAAGTACAAAGTATAGCAGAGAAATATTTAAATCTAATAATCCCAATAATGGTAGAATTTAGACTTTCTTTGACACTACGTATTTAAGGTGGATCGCCACCTTTCTTTTTATGCCTCTGTTATCTGTCTCAATTCCTGCAGAAGTTGTGGAGGAGAGGAAAGAGAAAATAGGAGGGCAGAGAATTTTAAGCAGGTTCTATATCTTAAAAGATACATAGCAGTGCCGCTGAATAATCTTGGTAGTCAGTTATAGCTGAATTCACACATTTCCCATATTATTAATTCACGTGATTTCTACTTGCCTCTTTTCCCCACTTAAAGACCTTCTTTTCTGTCCTCTCTTACTCCTTCTAATTCCATAGACTGGCATGCGGCTCCGATCCCATTTCCAGGCAATCCTGCTGTTTTAGCGAATTGAACTGCTTTCCTTCTGCTCCCCTCATTCCATTCACTTTAAGAATATCAAAGTCATGTTATCAGTGTCTTTCAAATAGAAGAAATAAAATGGACCATCCATCTCAGCTGACACCTAATGCTGCTGCATTTTCTTTCCATAATGCTTCAAAGAGTACTTTCATTTGTTAGAGAAATTCATCAAAACTTCTGTCCTGGCTCTTGTTGTTTTCTGTTTGTGCTGCTGTGAATCTTGACTGTGAGGCTTTTTTTGTGGCCTTCTCATTCTGAACGTATTTGTGCTCTCTAGAGCCCTTTTCTTGCTTCACCCCCAAATTCACAAGTTTCTTTAATTCTCATCCCTTCAGCTCTTCCCTGGGAATCTTCCGTGCTGTGTTATGTGTAATTGTGGTGCTTGCTCTGGCAGTAGGTGTCCGTGTCTGGTGGGAGGGGACTGATGGACATCTCCGTGCTCTTTCTGCGTTGCCATGTTCATGGTGGCTTCTCCTCTCTGAACTTCTCCATCAGGCTGCTCTGCTCGAGGACCCTCTGCCACCGCTTCCCTTTGCCAGCAGCTGCCTCTGACAGACTTTGAGCGAGGCCTGCCTTCCCCAAGGGTAGCTTTAGAGTTAGCATGGTGACTTTTCTGACCAGAGGCACCTCAGAAATGTAACAGTTCTGTTCCTATTTTTCAGTTTTGACTGGCTTTGAAACAAACAACAAATATGAAATCAAGAATACGCTGGGGCAAAGGGTGTACTTTGCAGCAGAGGACACTGACTGCTGTACCAGGAATTGCTGTGGGCCATCACGACCCTTCACCCTCCGGATTATCGACAACCTGGGCCACGAGGTGATAACGCTGCAGAGACCCCTCCGGTGTTCTTCGTGCTGCTTTCCCTGCTGCTTACAGGAGGTTAGTTACTCCCACCGTGTTCCTTCACTTGGGACATGGTCCACCTGTGCAGTTTTAAGATGGGGTTGTCCTGAATCAGGGGGCAAGGTGAAACTAGTCAGGTTTTGCCTGTAAGTTGTGGGGAGAGATATCTGTGGGATTTGTGCATGGGGTCCTTGGTCTGGGAAGAAGCAAGTGTGCTGCAACACTTAGATTCACTCTGGCCACTTCTGATTACAGTAATGAAAAATTTCATTCAACAGCATGTCAGGGAACTTGTGGCTAGTGCTGAAATCTGCGCTGGAGATGGACTTGCAATGTAAGAGTTAGGCAATGGCTTTCGTAAAATAACAGCTAGAGTTTTCACTTTGCTGCTGTGAAAGCTATAGTGAAATTCAACACATGATGAGCTTTTTTAATATTAAAATAATTATGGGGTGATGCAACTTCTCAAACCTCAAATCTGAGCCTACTCAGAGCTCTTACTGAGGGATTTGTAGTAGCTGCATCCTGTAATGTCTTCACTGAATGCTTTCAGGATGCTCACAGCCTTTCTTTCACTAGACTTTGATCTTCATACTATAGATGCATAGCTTGTGTGCTCCACAGCCTTAGGAGTATCTTGTTTTCAGTGAAGGCATAAGTTGCAATTTGTGTGTAGTTTTCTGAAAACATTCACAGAAAACCCCATGCAGCTTCATGCACTGGAAAGCCAGATTGTTGTGGAAAAATAAGTCGTGTTTGGTTTGTGTGCTAGCATGGCTTTTGTCTAACAAGCGTATCAAAGCATGAACATTCACATGGAGGTTTTCTTTTTCCTGTGAAGCTGGAAGTTCAGGCGCCTCCAGGAACACCAGTTGGTTACGTTGTCCAGAACTGGCATGCCTGCCTGCCAAAGTTCACCATTCAAGACGAGAAAAGAATGGATATACTGAAAATTATTGGCCCATGTGTTGTCTGCAGCTGTTGTGAGGACATTCATTTTGAGGTATGCAATGCTAAAGATTGTTTGTATCTATCTTCTTTCAGATAGTAGTTTGATAATAGTTTGTTGCTCGACTTATTCCCTATCAACTGAACTGTAGTATAGATTAAGTAATTAGTACATAATCTTTTAATGCTGGTATAATCAACTCACTTCTCTAGATATCTAGATTACTCTAGATAAGCCAGACAAACTTCCAGAAATGATGCCTTATAGCCACTCATCAGTGATCAGTGAGACTGATTCCCTGTGGTTGCATACAAATCTCTTAATTGAAATATTTAACAGCAAAATCTTTTTGAATCTATTGTTAGGCCCTAACAAAAAAATGTTATTCTCGGCTGTATCAGGTATTTATTAAAATGACTTCCTACAACCACTCATTTAATCATCTAATAAGCATTCAATGACCAAGTAAATCAAGATAATTTAGACCTAAAATATAGATTTGAATGACTGAAGAGTTACAGCTTTCACTTAAAAATAATAGTGATTAATGCATCATTATTTTCATACACATTAAGTAGTAGATACACTAGTCTACCATTTAATATTTAAAATGATGTTGCAAATAGTTGCTAAAGCAAATTTAGTATCATTTTATTTCGGGGACTAGTCTTTCACATGACCCTGAAGACTGGATCTAACTTTAGGAAACATAATGTTGACAAAGGGCTAATCTCTGCTTTGGAACAGAAGAATGTTGTTTGTTTAATTTTCACTTGAGCAGTTCCTGATACATGCCAGGAGAAACTAATTCACTCTCTTGGCTAAAAGACAACACTGCCAGCAGAGTGTGTGTGCGTGCGTGAGGTAGCTGTCTTCCAACACCATTAAAGCATTGAACTCTGCAGTCAGATTTAGAATTAAGTTCACGTCTGTGCTCCTTAAGACTGACTTTCTGATAGTCAGGGATGCTTTTTGGTACAAACAGTTGCATTCAATGACTGCATTAATTCAAATAACACAGTCTGAAGCTTTCAAATGGCTCTATCATGAAAAGGATATGGGAATATTATCAATTACAGATTTGATGTCGGTTTTTTAATTTTATATTAAACTAGGTGAAGTCTGTGGATGAGACTTCTACTGTTGGGAGGATTTCTAAGCAGTGGACTGGGTTTTTGAAAGAAGCCTTTACAGATGCAGATAACTTTGGAATCACATTCCCAATGGACCTTGACGTAAAAATGAAAGCTGTCATGATCGGTGCTTGCTTCCTTATCGTAAGTCTGTCATTCACTAATGCTTGAATATGAACTGACTTTTTCATCTCCATGTTTAAATTGTGCTGGTAAAGGATTTGACTCTGAGCTCCTTGAAGTGGGCGACAGCTTGTTGTGAACTTCCTGTGTGTAAAACCTTTAATTCTTAGGGAATTAAAAAAAAAGGGCAACAAAGAATTATTTCAGATAATAAGCTTCTTCTAGACTACATGAGTGCTGACTCTATTTAAGGAGAGCTTCATATGTGATGGGACTGAGAAACCCTGTAAAGCGAACACTCCTCACAGACACATTAGCAGAGGCAAGCATGTTTATGATGGTGAAACCAGAAAGTGCAGATCAGCAGTAGCCAAGAGACCCGCCCAGAGCCAGAGCAGCTTGCTGAGCTGGTGAACTGGACAGCTGAATGCTGCAGCCAGTTCCTCTTGACTCTCCTTCTTGGAAGTATGTGAAGCACTGAGCTGAGCAGGATTAAATGCTCTCAGAGGAGTCCTTCCCAATGGGAGGGACTTCTCTGGAGGCAAAGGACATCTAACTTGATACAGCACTTTTCAGCCGCACTCTGACTCTGCCGCGTCAAATACTGCAGTGCAGCTCACTTTGCTCTTTGGAAACAGTAGGACACACCCGTGTTTCCACTTACCTGTGCAATTCAGCATCAGGGACCATTTCAAAAAGCGCACTGCTTCTGTGCTGGCAGGGCTGCAGCGGGGGAGGAAAGGGGCCTGTGAAGCACCTTGAGTTTGGAAAGTTCTCACCAGCCTCTAACAGCCCTGTGCAGGAACCAGGTTTTCCTTAGCTCTGTGTGTTCGTGTGCTACTGTGTGCATGAAGTACAGCGTTAGTGAGTGCGAGCAACCCAACACTCCAGATACAGAAAATGGGGCCCCCAGATGTAAAGTAAAGATAGTCATCATTATGATGGACTCCAGTTTGAGGTAAAATTGAACTGACTGAGTCAGCTCGAACAAAGCCAGGGCAGGAATCCTGAGTAAAGGAAGCATAGCTTCGGCTAGTGATAATTTAAAGTTTCCACGTAGGTCTTTCATCACTTCTTCCTCTCTCTGTGGGTGTCCTGTTCTGAGAGATCCAAGTGATGGGGGGATGGAGAGAGCTGTCCCCAACTTCTTCTCATCATTTGAAGTTTCCAAGAGGAAGTTGTTTCCAAGTGCTTTGAACACCTTGCAAAGCAATCAGGAGATCTCTGAACTAAGAACCACATTTAAGAAGTATTTGTTTTGTTTGCTTTTTGTTTCCTTCTTAGGACTTCATGTTTTTTGAGCATGCTGGTGATAACCAACAGCGAACTGGTGTTTGGCAATGAAATCTGGAACTTTCATATAGAAGGAAGAACAACATAAATCTCCCAACTTTCCAGTGGATTGCAGAGCTCTAGTAAGAATGTGAGGAATGTACATCGTGTGCTTGTAGTTATATTTCTATAAACTAAAAGATTTAGGGTCTTTTTTTTTTTATAATCTGATGAAATAATTTGTAGTATTCAAATAGGAACCCTTTCTCTGTACAAATCGATACTGTAATTTATAGAAATATATAGCAACCTTTTCTTCCCAAGAAATTTGGAATCGTAAAATAACTACTTATAGTTACTTTAATTCTTAAAAAAGAGGACTACTTCTATATTCAATGTTAATATAAGCGATGAGCCTAATAAAGAGGTCCTGATCTTTTCCTGTGTATCCTTCTTTGGTAGTTTTGCCTTGGTGTTCACATTCTGTTTCCAACTTCTTATCCAATATATACGTTCAAAACAAAGTAATCTAAGTGAACAGAACTATCAGAAATCACTGTAAAATTGTATTAATCTGGTGATAAATCTGCTGTCAAATATGACTCTTTTAGTGTAACTTAGTTTCATAATTTGGGTTGTTTCGAAACTTAAGGCTTTGATTTTCACCAACAGAAGTTTAAAGGAGACAGAAAATAGAAATGCCTGTGTTGCTTCTGTTTAATAATTGTTTAGTAATTGCTTTGTGCATGAGTGTGTTTTTTCCTGAGGCAAGGAAAAACTAGTTAGTTAAACTTTTCAGTTTCTCCAGTCCTCTTTCCTCTTTATTTAGTCCATGATTTTCACAGACTGTAAGTTGGTTTGTAGGTGGGAGGGCGCAGGAATGATAAACAGAACAATTCCACTTAAAAAGCAGACGCGTGAAATGGCAAGTCTATTTCTTAGCATTTCTAGCTTTATTTGAATGTGCAAGCAATGAATAAAGTTGCAGTTTCTTACCCCAGCTTCAAACAAGCATGTGTGTATAGCGGTTCTTGGGATCCAGCTATGGGGAGAGGTCCTTGCCAATATTTTCAGTCGTATTCTAATTCTGCTAAAGATTCCTTTTGTTCAGTATTTTCAATTTATTGATTGCTCCTGGCCAGTGAAAAAGCAGAGGAAAAGAGGAGTGCCGTTGCTGCTATGTACCTGGACTCTCTTTGATGTTATAAGAATTGTACAAACTCGTGACAACAGTCTACACTGTTCTGAAAGTCTTTAAAATTGTATATTATGCCTTGTTAAAGTTAACTTCTGCTGCTAAAAACAAAATTCCTTTAATATTGTGTCTTTAATAATAGGGATTGCTAGAGGTGCATTTTTGATTCATCAGTACTATTCTTAGGGAATTAAATTATTGTTATTTTGAAAATATCTTGTGCTTTATTGACCCAGCTATTAATGAGATACTGGAAATTCAGTCTTGCTAAAATCTGCTAAAAGTTTCTGATTGCTTCTGTTAGGAATAGAAGCTACATGTATAAAAACCAAACTAACACACCCAGGACCAGACCTGTCCTGTAGGGATTCATATGGCTAAGCCCATCAGTATTATTTTTCCTGCAAGGGGCGACACACAGCTTCAGCTCTGCCTGTAGCTCTGAAGTCCCAGGCTTAAGCACATTCAATAGCTGCATGTGCTGGTTTTGGCTGGGATAGAGTTAATTTTCTTCATAGTGGCTAGTATGGGGCTATGTTTTACATTTGTGCTGAAAACAGGGTTGATAACACAGGGATGTTTAAGTTACAGCTGAGCAGGGCTTACACAGAGTCAAGGCCTTTTCTGCTCCTCATGCTCTACCGACTGAGAAGGGTGGAGACACGCAAGAAGCTGGGAAGGGGCACAGCCAGGACAGCTGACCCCAGTAGACCAAAGGGATATTCCATACCATATGACGTCGTGCTCAGCATATAAAGCTGGGGGAAGAAGAAAGAAGGGGGGGGGATGTTCAGGGTGATGGCGTTTGTCTTCCCAAGTAACTGCTACGCGTGATGGAGCCCTGCTTTCCTGGAGATGGCTGAACACCTGCCTGTCGATGGGAAGTAGGGAATGAATTCCTTGTTTTGCTTTGCTTGTGCATGTGGCTTTTGCTTTACCTATTCAACTGTCTTTATCTCAACCCACGAGGTTTCTCACTTTCACTTTTCTGATTCTCTCCCCCATCTCACCATGGAAGAGTGAGCAAGCAGCTGTGTGGGACTTAGTTGCCAGCTGGGGTTAAACCACGACAGTCCTTTTTGGCGCCCAACGTGGGGCTCGAATGGTTCGAGATAACAGAAACCAGAGTTACTCAAATATTCCATAAACAGTTTTTTGGAGATATTTGAAAATACCTGTTTAATTCCATGGCAAGTCCTGCATAGAATTTAAATTTACTTTTTGCATTAGAGTGAGATCTGTTTGTGGCTGTTTGAAGAATGGATGGAATAATATTTTGTAAGTAGGCAAAACAGTGATACGTTTGCCTATGCTGAAAAGCATCTTGCATTATAAATTCATCCCTTGACAATAAACTGGGGAGTGTATGCAAATTTAAGTAAGGTATTAGGACCTTGGGCTAATGGTACATAACCAGGAGCCTTTTTTTATTCCTCCAAGTAATTAAAAATTTTATGTTCAAATACTGTGCTTAGGTATTCACCGTAAGTCCTGGAAGCATCATTGTCCCAACAACCTTGCATACAAAATTATGCAGAAAAAGTCACATACATCTCTGTAGAGCCGTAAGGGAAGAATGTGAGGATGCAAACAGTCACGAATGATCAGCTTCACATCAAGGAAAAAAATGTGTAGGAAAAAAATGTTGCAACTCTTGTATCTTAAGCAGAATTGCAGTTGCAAGCAGTAACAATTCTGTAAAGTAATCAAAGCAAAGATTTTTTTGCTTACAAACAGGTTTCTCAAATACAGTGAAACCCAACAGTGAAATTGTGTAAGTTGTGCTGTTGTGCTGCTTGAGTCTAGTGGTCAAATTGCTACAGCTTATTCCTTTACCATTTATTTAGCAAAATTAGTACATAAGGTGAAGAAGTAGATAGCTCAAGGGAATCAGTATTTGAATCCAGCTATACAGTAAGGTGTAAGAAGTTCAAATTAAGCCTCTTAGATTTGCCAGAATTGTGGGAAGAACAGGAAAGAAGTTGCACAACCTCAGATCATAAAAGGACAGAGAGAGCATTGGACTAGGGGACCTTTCCATCGGTTGGGTAACTGGATAGCTCTGACACAGGTTACACTTTTGTCTTGTGAAGTGGTTCACAGTCTCTCATGAAGGTAAAAATATTGCGTGAGAAGTCCCAACTGAAGCTATCGAGTAACTCTTCAGTTAACCAAACAATATCTTATCATCACCTTTGTAATCTCTTTCACTTTTTCCTAATGATATTTAATTGAAAAATGCTTATTCCTTAAATTTTTCAAGAACTTCTGGAGACAGCTGTATTCACTTGCTCATTTCTGAAACTGATTGTGCAAAATGCAGAATAAATCATTCTTCGAGCTGTCTGTTTGAAAGAACCCATAACAGCATCCATATTCAGTAAATCACCAGACTCTAGAACTCTCCCCTCTTCATCCATCAGACTATAAGCAATACAATCATTTATCGCCCTATCCATAAATCCAGGCTTTGGAAAGCATTAGAAGACTTTCAGCACACTGCCTGTTATTCAATAACATCTCGGTTAGATAGAGCTGTTACATAAAACCTTTAGAGAGTGAGATTTGCAGATGGATTTCTCTAGTTCTGTTAATGACCTTTCCATCTGTATCATCCCTGTAAGTTTTTAATCTCCAGCTGTACAGGAGATGCAGTCACTTAATGAAACCCTCGAGTCTATACGGCACAGAAAGGCATGATTTATACGATGTTTCTCGGTAGAAAAGCATAGTTAATTCCAGTTTCCAGAAACCAAAATTGTAAGTGTAAAAAAAAAAAAAAAGAAAAAAGAAAAAAAAGTAATTTACTCCTTCTTTAATCTTAAGCAAGATTGGTTTTTTGCTAATTGAGGAGAGAGAACAATTTTGCTAATCGGAGAAGAGGAGAAGCATTGTTTAAAAGGATATTGTATTACAGTTGGTCTCCTAAAAACATTTTAATTCATATTAGCTAAGTTCATAAAAAGTCAAGGCTTCCTTGGGTCTTTTTGTAGACCCAAGGACAGCCCTTACACCCCTCATGTACCTCATCTTGGTTTTACTAATGAGAATAACTTTGACCAAAAGCTGACAGTGGGAGCAGGAACTGCGCACTAAAAGGTGAGTCAAGGAAGGAGAAAGCAACTGGATTTCCTGAACTGAATTTAGCTCATTTACTGTAGGTACAGGGGTAACTCATTGGAAATGCTAGGGGTAATAAAGAAAATCAAATCTTTGTTCAAGGGAATATATCATAAAATTGCATGGCTTAAGTCTTTGACTACTGATGGGCATTGTATGATATGAATGCTAATACTTTGTGACAGGAATACTTATGAAATCGATAACTGGTAAAGGTAAAAGGATGATGCAGGGAGGAAGTTGAGGAATCCGAGGAATTTGCAGATAAGGGAACCTCTCACGACCAGGGCAAGGAAACAGATACAGGTTGCATGGAGGGGAAAACAACACGACAGCACAGGATGAAGAAACCATGTCAAGCAGAAAGCAATCATGTGGTAAGATTTGATCTTAAAATGCGTAAGACAGGAGGTAAAAAAGGTGTAACATCCACCCCCCCCCCCAGAAAATAGCAAAAGGTCAGAGGGAGAGAATAACAAAGGAAAAGGTGCAGCTCTCCCAGGGTGGAGGGAAGAGCCCAGCTAGTGGGGAATTCTGTTGTGTTGGATCAGGGCGCCATATGTGCTTTCATGATATATATACTTAAACATGCTATGCTTATGTACTGGATCAGATTGCTCTAGGACACTAGTAGCTCCCTGTCACCACTCGCAGGGAGACTTCCATACATTGCTGATTTTGTTCTGAAGAGACTTTATTCTCTGTTCTACAGATATATTTGACGTATCACTTGGTTTTGGCTTATTTGCATTTTTTACTCCATCACAGTATGTTATTAAAGACAGCAGCGAGGAGAAAATATACATGAAAGCGTTGCAACAAATACCAAAGAGGGAGAAGAGATGAGAACAGGGATTTACGATGAGCGTGTCTCCTATTT